ACATATCCACCTTTTCACTATCTCCCATGCACAATATCTAGTGAAAACTATGGTTTCTATTGAGTGTGTGGAATTTTCTTCAAATTTATGGACTATTTACTATAAATGCCAAGTATGTATGTACTTGAAAGTTGTCTTTATTGCTACATAGACTTCTGTTGTATAATGTATACTGGCATTTCATAAGTTTTTGATGGGCATTGCGCATTAGATCTTGGGTTTTTTAGTCAGCGCATTATGATATTTATATCTTGTTTCTTCCTTTAACGTAGATTCTGGATTTGGAGTGGGAATTGTACTTACTGACAATACCCGGATGATCTCAACCTTAAAAGAATAATTCTATGAATTTTTCTTCAGTGAATATAATAGGAATACAGAGTATGTAACATGTGGTATGAAATCTATAAAGACTATAAGTCTACATTAAAGAAGTAACATGATGGTGAATTAAGAAGTTAAAAATTCGGAACTTGTAATATTTCTAGATAAGTATAAGGATATCATCGGTTCTTGAAACACTTCTGATTTGAATTTTAACTGACACTTTCCTTTTTTCATAGGTTTTGTCATGTTAGTAAATAGAAGTTTATTTGGGATAAGAGTTTACAAGGGCAAAGAGCAGAGAACTCGAAGTTCTCTAGCAAAATTTTACAAGATTGTGAAGTAGAACCACTCTATCTTTTTGTACCACTATGTTCAACATTAATCACAAAACCTCTGGATGATCCCAAACCTAAAATAAATAGTTCTATTGATGAAAATTGAATCTTGCTAGTAAATATAATAAGAATAATATATAGGCATGAGATCTAAAAAGACTAAGTCTATATTAAAGGAGTAATACGATGGTAAATTGAGAAGTCAAGAATTTTGTAACTTGTAATATTTCTGGATAAAGGGTATCATTGGTTCTTGAAACACTTCTAGTTTAAGCTAACGCTTTTTTCTTTGCGTAGGTTCATCACGAATATATAGGAACTGTTAGTAAATAGTAGTTTATTGCAGAATAAGGGTTTACAAGAAAGGCAAAGGGTCCGAAGTGCTCTAGCAACAATTTTTATGATGATTGTGAAGTAGAATAATAAAGAACCACCCTATCTCTTTATTTTTTCATTGAAAAATGGTACTATTCAAACTTCCATTTTAAGTCGTATGAAAAATCCACAACATGCAATTTATTGTTATCCTAATTATGGACCAACTTTTGGCGATAATCATGGGAAAAATTTCAATCAAACTAATAGTTGTGCTTATAATCACCATTCATATAAAAATCTTAATTTAAATTGCTAGTAAGTCAGGGTGTGGCGACTTAGAGTAGTGGTTAAGTTGTTACCCCTCAAGCAGCAGGTCTAGAGTTCGAATCCTACTAGAGACATTTTTAGAAAAATAGGCCTGTGTTTCGGTAACAATTATTCGATGATCAGTTGGGTATATTACCTGTAATCTTGGTACTACCATCTCGAAATGAAAGCTCTTGGGCGATCCAAATCCAAGGAACTGAAATAATTGAAACCCATTTGACAAGACCCGAGTAAGGAGATAGTAAAGATCTTCGATGATACTGCAGAAAGCCAGAAACTAGAGACCGAAGAACCAGACGAAAAACTCTGGAGCAAGAAGGGTCCACCAACCCGACCGCCGGAGTCGCATCAGAGGAAAAGATCCTATGCTATGGAATTAGAAACCAAGGAAAATAAAACTGGAAAGCACTTAAAGCTTAGGTACAATGACCCATCTGGGCTAACTAGTTTGGTAGTTTGGGAGGGATCAGTATAAGGACCAGCTTGATATGAGTATCAGGATTAGAATGAACCTTGCAAGAGCACTGGATACTGGAATTGTGTGGTTTAACGGTTCGCCCTGACTGCTAGTGGTAGTTTCGGCTGCTGCAGAAGGTATTCGTAGCCTAATCTGGAAGTGTGTGGGATATAGAAAGATTAGAAGGGTATATACTGCACCCTCCCTAGTGCAACCTGGTAGTATAAGAACCCTACTGGGTTATCTATAGAATTAGGGTATAAGTAGTATAGCAGATGTCGATCTGGATGGTCTTCAATAAGAAGCAGCACGAGGTTATGGATTGGTGTGATTGTGGTGGTGGTGCAGAACCGGGGATATTAGAGGGTTTAAATAGGTAATCTCCTAGTTAGGTTACAGATATGGCATATAATGTAGAACCTTCGGGTGGACTACTTAAATTAGGCAACCAAAAGTTGCACATATGGCTATGTACTCTTGCTAACCAGAAATGTACTACTAAATATACCTAATAAAAATCCACCCTTCCGCAACATTGCGAAGGTATAAAAAAAAAAAAAAAAAAATTGCTAGTAAGTTAGAATAATATGATGGTGAATTGAGGATTCAAGAATTTTAGAATTATAATATTTTTAGATAAGTATAAGGGTACGTTGGTTTTTGAAACACATTTAATTTTGAACTTTAACTGTCACTTTTCTCTTTATATATAGGTTTTGTTACGAAAATATAGAACTATTGATAAATAGGAGTTTATTGCGGGGAAGAGTTATGAGAAGGACAATACCCTAGCAAAAATATTACAATATTGTGAAGCAGAATAATAAAAAACCTCCCTATCTTTTCATGCCATTATGTTCAACATTAATCACAAAGTCTAATTCGGTCAAAAGAGCACCAAACTTTGGGAGGTTCTGCTGGTTTTTAAACTGGTTTATGCTATGTTATATGTTTGCAAGTTGTCGCTCAATTACCGAATATTTTCCTCGACAGGCCACCCAATATCACATAGGGCTAGAGTTAGCATTTGATTAGTTGCAGGTATTATATTTTTAGCAAATTGTACCCTGTGTGATGTTAAGTAGAGAAAATAGCTTTCGGGCAATTATGCTATAACCATATTTGCATATAAGCCAACGTTCAAAAAAGTTTGCATAAGCATATAATTAGTTAGCGTAATTAGAGATTTCAATATTACATATATCTTTACTACTTTAGATGTGATTTTTGTATTTTAATCGAATAAAGCAGTAATATATCTTCATTGTAAATTTTTATTAATAATTCTAGTATTTTATATTAAATAATTTCTAGTTACAACTGATTATTTCTTGATGGCTAACAAAAGTAATAAAAATATATTCGAAAGTATCTTTTCTGAAACCCATCGTGAATTAGAAAGTTTAAATAATGAAATTTTTTAACTTCATGATATTTATTTGACTGATAATTCAGATGAAGAATCTGATAACGAAACTAATGAATTCATTATTGATGAAACTTCTAATGAAACTCCTGGTAAAACTTCTGATAAAACTTCAGAATCAATAGCGTTAGCTGTGTATATTAATAATTTTTTTACCGTTGATCAAATTGAAAGTTTTTACAAAATGTATAAGCTCAATCCAATGTGTACAATAATGAAAGAAGAAAAAGCTCATAAAAAGTGATTAGATAAACGTGATGATGATGCATTTTTGACAAAACTGCAACAAGTTTGCTGTAACAAAAGGTGCTTTTTAAATGTTAATCATTAGGCAGCGCTTAAAAGGTTCCAAGAAATGAAAGCAATGACCCAAGATGAATCAAGTTTATATTTTCTTGGAATAATTGATGCTAGCATGCATGTTACAGAATTCAAAAATGGAACACCAAAAACATATTTAACAACTAACTATAAATTTGAAGGTGTTACTATTTGTCAAAAGGCTTGGTATACCATTTATGATATTCAAAAAAGAAGATGGGAGACTCTATGTACTCATTATCAAAACTTTGGTCTCACCCCAAAAATTCATGGCTTAACCGGATATGTTAGTAACTATGCAATTTCTTTTTCAACTATTTTAAATGTTCTTCATTTTATCGTGAATTTTGCCAATCAACATAGGCTTTCATCATTTGGTAAGCAATTAACATCATACTGCACAAACTATTACACTCTGAATATATATTTTATAGTTATATTACAATATTAGATTAGCATTAATATATCGGGTGTTCTGATTTTTTTTTAAGCGATCTTATATAAAGATCACAAATAATCATCATGATCTCTATACAAGAACACCTAAAAAAACACAAACTGTTGAGTAACTTGTAAAGATTTTAATATAAAGTTTTTTGTAAAACATAAGTGAAGGCCGGGTATTACATATCATTATGGTGTAGAATATTATGGCGCATTTATGTTTTTCAGCTATGTCTTGGCAAATAGCAATCAGAATCGAATTGTATTAGTATCATTCGATTCATCTTCTTAAGATGAATCAAATAATTTAAAAATCGCTTGGTTTACAAGACATAAATGAAGGTTGGCACATATGTTATACTACGTATGTATGTAGTAGTCGATTTTAATTATTTCTTCATTTATATAATATCCGGTGGAGATTGGGAGATACAGTATATATATATATTCGTAATAAATATTACATAGTGCATCATAATACCACCCAACAGTTTTAGACCATAGGAAAACTTTTGTATGATTAGCTGTTTAAATCAATTTAATTTTACATTATTTATACAGTTTAAAGTACTTTTAAAAAAAATTAAACTACGAAGAGTAAATAAAAAAAGGAGTATATAGTAAGTTTTATTAGGGCTTCAGTATTAAAAATAATCAAAATCATTTCTGGTTAAAATAGATACAATTAGGTTATTATTATAAACCTTTCTATATACTTCTCTTTTGTTTATTCTTTGTAGTTTTATTTTTTTTAAAAAGTACTTTAAACTATATAAATAATGTAAAATTAATTTATTTAAACAGCCAATCATATAAAAGTTTTCCTATAGGTTTTTAAATAGCCAATAACTAGTGCTCCAAAAGGATTATTCGAGTCAAGTTTAGAGTTAAACTCGATAAAGGTTATATTTTTTATATACATTTTATTGTTATGTAATGTATATAAGTAATATATAATGATAATAATCTCATAATTTAGATAATTGACCCAAGTTGATATAAAGAGCCATAGGTTTAATTCAACCTTTAGAAGTACTAATATCAACTCTTAAATGCACAATAATACTTAACCCTTTCTTATAACTCTGTTATACTATGAGGTATTATTATTATACAGTAATCGTTGCTAAGATATTTAGTTTTTAGGGCGTAGTTTTCGGGACAATACTCATAAAATAATCTATTTACTCGCATGTGAGAATAAGCGATCTTTATATAGAATTTATAATAACTTAGAACATGATGGAGTAAATAAAGTTAGTTTATCAAGCTTTCTACGTATTTGGAAATGGTATCTCTCCGGAATTCAGTTTTTGACTGCACGTAGTGATTTATGCATGCTTTGCAAAAAAAGAAGATTTGGTATAAAATATTGGAATGCAAATGAGGTATTACAAAAATTAAATGAATGGACAAATCATTATAATTGGACATGCTTAGAACGTGAAAACTATAGGTAACAATTTAAATTAATTATTATATTAGTGTATATATATAGCTATAGCCAATTCATATTTATTATAAATTTTAGGGATTGTATTGCCAGATCCAAAATAGCTTTAACTTCTTTAAATAATTTTTCACAACCTGGAATTTCAAATTCAGTCAATATCAAAAATCATCTCTCATAGGACTTCACAGAGAATGTACATATTCCTTATTCTTCGCAACAAGAGGGTGCAATGTATTTTAAGTCACTTTATAAGGTTGAGGTATTTGGTGTATGTGAGGAAGGAATACCACAACAGGTAATTTGATATTATTATTAATTATATAATTTTATAAACATACATATCCGTGAAATTACATGACA